GGGTTCATGGTTGACGAGCGGCGGTACATCTCTTTGAAGTCTTCGAGTCCGTTCTTGCCCCGGATTACGTGCTCGGTGATGAAGTCGAAGAGGCCATTGTCCCAAGCTCCGCCGCGGACGAATTGTTCGCGGTAAAGATCACCACAGGCTTCCCAGGGTGCGATGGCTTTAAGTGAGGGAGGTTGTGTTGCGGCAATGAACCATTGGACGATTCCGAGATGTGAGTTGCCTGCCAGTCCGATCGAGCCGTTGCACCTGTATCATCGTTAGATCGGTGTTATCCGGAAGACTGGTGCGAATCTTACCAGTCCATCTTTGCGAGCTCTTCGATCACGTCGTGCCCATCCTCGCCTTCTTGCTTTCCCATAATGACAATGTCTCCATCTGAGTCTCCTGCACCTCTCGCATCTACGTTGACGACAGCATACCCCCGAGGAACGTATTCCGCCGGATCGGGTCCTTCGAATCGCTCAAGACCGCTGAGGCAGCCTTTCGGTACACCGCAACCCCATTTGACCTGGATGATGTTAGTCTTTCCTCATTCTGAGTCTTTGTTCTGTACGGTAAATACGAACCTTTGACATCATATCAATACCCGTATGTTTCTTGCCAAAAGGACTCCAGGCCACAATCGCAGGCACTTTCTCGCTCCGATCGCTACCGACAGGCCGGTAGATATCGCAGTACAAAGTACACCCATCTCTGACTTTGACAGCGACATCGTGCTCAGCAATCATGTCTTCAGAAAGTGCGCGGGCACCATCCCGACTTTGGTACCCCTTGCGAAGAGTCTCTTTGCGCGGATTGAAGCCTTGGTAGCCATTTTCACCCACCTTGGGCGGCTTGACAGCCAGATTGGCGACCTGAAAAGCGAGAGGCATGATTGCAGTATGAAAAGAGCGGGCAAAGAAGTTGTTGCGAGTGACTTGCAGCAACATGGGAAGGAGGAGGCCGCATCGTGGTTTTGAAAAGAGCGTATTGTTGCCGGTGGACTCCGTGGAGACCGCCCGACCGTTCTCGGCCGCGACACTTCTATCGAGTGACCTGCCTTTGTAAATCTACACACGGCTCTCGAGGTGTAGCGTCGGCATGTGGAGCGTTTCGAGATGCACATGCACGCTAAGGCTCGCCCGATCTCGACCGTGATGCAGTGAGCCGCAGGGTCCGCCCCACAACGAAGCTTGTCTGTCCCCGCAGGGAGCGGCCGTGGACGGGCGAGCCGGGGTAATGTGACCGAGAGGATTGTAGAGGGGTGTGGAGTATATCAGTGGAGGAATATCTTGTGCCATCACCTCCGAATCTATTACTCCATTTCAAACTCATCAACTCATTGTATTGCGACTATGGCGCCCTTCCTTGACGACAACGAGAACACGAGCACTGCTCAGCAAAAGTACGGCGACTGGCGAGATGACTTCTACGAGAAGGGCTATGTCGTTCTCAAGGGCGTTGTGCCCAAGGAGCGTGCTCTGAAGTACCGCAACAAAATGATGGACTGGCTCGGTACTTTCCCCAACGACTTCGATATCAACAAGCCAGAGACATGGACCAAAGAGAATCTGCCTCAAAGCTTCAAGAACGGCATGTACCTCAACTACTGCGCTGCACACGAGAAGTATGTTTGGGAGGCAAGACAGTGAGTACCCCTCTTCGCAAATGACGCGCCAATCTCGGTGACTGATGCTTTTGCGGATAGAGAACCAGGCGTTCTGGCTGCCTTTGAGAAGTTGTGGAACACAAACGAGCTCATCGTGTCATACGACACTATCAACCTCACACTGCCGAATGCTGGCAAGATGGCTGGCAGCAAACCATGGCCGCACGTCGACCAGGCACCCGAGCGACAAGGCCTGTCTTGCGTCCAGGGTATCATCAACCGTACGTCAAAACTCGTCGCTCCGAACCATTCCAAAGCATCCTGCTAACAAACTCTCAGTCTCCGAAGCCGGTCCCAAAGACGGCGGCCTCGTCGTAATGGAAGGCTCCGCCAAGCTCTTCGACAGATTCTTCAAGCAACACCCTCCGGACCGAACCAAGGGCCCCCTCGCCGCCCTCCATTACGACTTCTACCCCTTTCAAGACACCGACGTAAAGTGGTACGAAGACCAAGGCTGCAAGATGGTCAAGGTCTGCGCCGAGCCCGGCGATCTCATCCTGTGGGATTCGCGACAGATGCACTACGCTGTGTACCCCGAGACAGACAACATCCGCACGATTATCTATGCTTGCTACACACCAGCAGCCATGGCGTCCAAGGAGGATCTGGCGAAGAAGAAGGAGATCTTCGAGAAGTGGGAGGCGACTACACATTGGCCACACATCAATATCCACTCACAAGGGAAGGCCAAGGTGGATGGAGAGATTGATCCATGGGAGCGGACGGAGCCGCTTGAGAAGCCGGAGTTGACGGATAAGCTACTTAAGCTGGCGGGTGTGAAGCCGTATTGAGTAGGGCATAGTGTATGACTTTCTTAGGCAGAGGCGAATTTTTATGGCGTTGTATAAAAATCCTTCACATTTGAGCAAACACTTCGTCCCAGTCGTCAAAACCGTATGTTGCATTGAGTGTGCTGCCAATCCCATCGAACATGTCGATGTTCTCGTAGTTGCCGTGGTGGGCAAAGCCGTCCATTGGAGGCGCCGAGTTGGATAAGTCGTTGGTGTTGCTGTGATCAGCCATCGACAGCTGCTGCAGTAGTTCGTGTATCGTACGTGACGTTCCAGGAAGCTCAGTGTCGTGTCGTTCCAGCACGGGCAAAAGCCCCTCAAGTACAGCCGAGCCTTTCGCTGCATGGACAGCAACGGCAGAGTGCTTTCTCAGCTCAGTAAATGCCATTCTTAGAAGGTTGATGATTCGAAGTTTTGCGTCACCTCGATAGTCATGCGGGTTGGCAAGCATGTCTAAGGATACGTATATAGCAGCTGCGACTGTTGACGCAGATATAACCCAAACTAACCTGTAAACCCTAGGAACAGGCTTCGCGTAGTAGCTCAGAAGATTGTTCGCCGACTGGAGGGCCAGCTGTCTGAAGTTTGGGTCATCATCTGGATTCTCCGGTGACAATACACGAGCGATGGTCAGCAATAAGAAGTCAATAACGAAGTGGATCTGATAGCGCTGGAATGGTATCCAAGGGTACTCTAACTCCCATATCCGGTCGTCTTCATTGGCTGGAAAGTTTGGCGATAGATGCAGGGGCAGGTCTCGTCGAACAGTCTGAACCTCCTCGATGGCTTTGATGAACTTCAAATTCGTCTGGTGTGTGTTGGCTTTGATGTAGATGTAGACTATGTAAGAGACACGGCACATGATTGAATGGTAATGAGCCGGTGAAGGAGTAGCGAGATTTCCAGACTCGAAAGAAGCAGGACTATCAGCCATGGGTGTTCTGGGTAGTATGTAGTCGTCCTGGCTGGTGATGGTCGATACATGGCAGCAAAAGCTGGCGGGTGAAATTGATGGCGGTCGAGACCAACTTCCAAGCCTAGAGAGGGTCAGTCAGATCGATTGGGCCAAAGCGTACGTGGCCAGTACTTACCAATCCCGGATAACGCAAGCCCACCACAACCGACGCCCCATTTCTCGCTGAGAAGGAGATGACCACTCCGGTCTTTTGCACAGGTCTTTGGAGATGTTGACTTCATTCCCCAGCTTGTGCATATCAAGGCATCTAGCCATGTTTGTCGCAAAGCCGGTGATGAGCCACTCTCGCTGGTGTTCACCAAAGTTGGAGTGACATAGTGTCAGTACTGACAGAGCCTGAACAACAGGGAGAGAAGGTGAGCCTGCAAACCCATACCTCTCCAGCTCTTTGAGTGCGGCCTCATACCAGAGACGAGACGTGTGTACTGCGATAGAGACAGGGTTGTCTAGTGGCATTCCAAGTTGAGGTAGTTGGTTGACATCGGGGATTTCGTCTGGGTTAGAATAGAGTATGCCCACAGCAAGGACAGCAAGGTAGACAACCAGCCAAGGTCTCCGTGCGCGATCGATGCCAGCACCGAGCTGCGTACTCTGCCAGAACTCTTCGTGTTCTCCGAAGAACAAATCAGCATCCACGGCGCAGTGCAGCCAACCCAGCGTTTGGAGCGAGAAGGTAACGAGTTGGATACTAGCGTCTTTACTGGGAAGAAGCAGATAGATGGGATCCGCAGCAGGTTCGTAAAGTCTATCTATGAGATCCTTCTCGCCACCCTCACGCGCAGCATTGGTCGTGATTCCGATATCGAACTGTTCAAACGCCGGGATCAGGTCCTCCAGGGAAGCCGACGGTGCAGAATAGTCGGTAGATTCGCTGGTGCGGCTATGAGCACACGGCTTCGACAGCGCAAGAGCAGTCTCGAGTTCAGCAATCTGGGCGCGCAGGGCGCCTCGTTCGCGCAGGAGGTCCTCGAGTTGCACATCCTCCGCGCTGCCAGCCTCGGAGTCGGCGTAGACGGTTAGCTGTCCCCTGACGCGGACGATCGGCCGGCGGCAGGAGTTTCCGGCATTGCGGCGCACGCAGGGCGCGCAGGGGGATTTCTTGTCGCAGCGGATTTTGCGACGGCTGCACTCGACGCACGAGCGGCTCACGCGCTGCGATGTCTTGATGCCGGCTTCGCTCATGGTGCGTGGAGGTGACGTACGTGGTGTGGGTGGTGAACATTTGCCGAGGAGCTTGAGGCTCAAAATCTCCCAGGCCTGTAAGTACACGGTACGCGCGTACCCCGCATGTCTCGTCTCGTGTCCCCCATGTCGTTCCCAGCTTTCCCCCCTGCCTGGACCGGGCTATCCCCACACCTGGAATCGGCTTAGCCCGTGCTCCTCCACAATCCGTTCGCATACTTATTGGGCTGCGCGGCCCAGTGCGGGCGAGGTCCGGGGTTGCACTGCGCTGAGAGTCGTGTTCCAAGTCACGACGCAGATGCCATGGCGCTGGTAGCTGCGTCCACTTCGGAGCTGGGAGTGTACAAAATCTGGGGAATGCCTCTCTGTTTCGAGGCATCAGCGGCTGTCCATCATGGCGCTTCACGACTCCAAGAACGAAGCCAGCGCTCACATCGAGATAGTTGATGCCCACAAGAAAGCTGCCAGGCCGGTGGTTGGCACCATCAGGCTGTACGACGAGGATGGCATTGTGCTGATCCCAACACCGAGCAGAGATCCCAATGGTAGCTCCAGCCCATCAAAACCATCAAGATGAGGACCGCTAACGAACATAGATCCTCTAAACCTTCCAAAATGGCAAAAGTACATCATCCTGATCATCGTCGGCCTCTACGCTGCCACCGGAAACCTGATGGCCAGTGGCATCACCGCCATCCTACCCATCGTACAAGCCTCGTACGGCGGCGACCCAAAGACCAGCGACCTCGCAACCTGGCCAGCTTTCTACATGGGCGTTGGGAACCTCCTCGCGATCCCCGTAGCCCATGCCATTGGCCGCAGGCCAGTCTATCTCATGTCGACCATCGTGCTCTCCTTCGGCTGTCTCTGGTGCGCGTACAGTGGAAGTCTGGAGTCGCACATCGCAGGCAGGGATGTCATGTCGATTGCCGCCGGCCAAGCTGAAGCGCTGTGCCCCATCATTGTACAGGAGATTTTCTACCTGCACGAGAGAGGCCATGTCATTGCGTGGTTCTGCGCGCTGCAGACGCTTGGTACTGCTGCGCTCATCGTAGCGAGTTCGTATCTCGCGAACGATCTGGGCTGGAGGTGGTGGTACGGCGTGTTCGGATGCCTGAGCGGAGCTATTGCAGTCCTCAGCATCATTTTCGTCGCGGAGACTAAGTACGAGCGCACGCTTGAGGCACTGAGTAAGTCGACCTACACCACATAGTCCAGCACATATACTAACACCCTCCAGACGGTCAAGGCATCGACGAAGACGGCACCCTCGTCCCCGTCACAACCAACACCAAGCGCCCTCTCGACACCATCAACTACGCACCCCGCTCCTTCGTCAAAGACATGCTCCCCTGGAAAGGCCACGCCCACTGGTCCGAAGCAATCTCCTGCTGGAAGCAAATGTTCCAAATCATCTGGTTCCCCAACATCCTCTGGCTCATTCTCATCAATTCCGCCGCCCTCGGTATTTACGTCCTCATGTCCGCCCTCTTCGCCGGCGTCCTCGTCCAACCGCCCTACCTCTGGAACTTCGATATGTTGGGCTATGTCTTCGCGGGACAGGTCGCAACGGCTGTTGCAGTCCCGCTCTTCTGCGGTTCCCTGAGCGATTTGATCGTCAAGACGATGAGCAAGAGGAATGACGGTGTGAGCCAGCCGGAATACCGTCTCCTCGCTCTTATCATCCCGCTGGTGTCTATCCTCATCTCGACCATCATCTACGGTATGACCGCACAGAATCCCAACAATTGGAGTTGGGCTGGCATCGCTGTCACGCTCAACGTCGAGTACTTCGGTTTCGTCGGTATTGTCGTTTCCAGTTTCGTGTACTGCATGGATGCTTACCCTCAGCGCATCGATGCTGCGCTCGTTCTCATCTGCTCGCTCAGAGGCTTCATTGGCTTTGGAATCTCGTTCGGTTCGATCGCTTTCGTTGAGAAGGCTGGGTATGAGGGTGCGTTCAATATCTGCGGCGGCATTGTGGCCGCACTGATGTTCTTGGGCATCTTTGTTTATCTGTTTGGCGAGAAGATCCGCAGTATAACGCAGAAGTGTGCTCAGGATGAGTAGACGTCGGATTGCGACTCTCAGGAGGTTAAAGTCGTCTTGGACGTATTAGTTCTCTGGAGCGAACAGCGCTGCTTCTTTAATTATGAGAAATGAGAATGAACATGTATTTATCCCAATGACATCGCTCTATGCTTCCGTTAGCAGTCAACCATGCGGGATCAAACTGACTCAAATGGATCATAATGTACGATCGTCATTGAGCAAAGGTATATTGAACATGCTCTTGACCGTACGGAAGGGTATCGCAATAACTCATTGAGTCGCCGCTCTGTAAATGGCCAAAACTCCTGTACTATGCCCATGCCGTTATACGCCTTCCATGCTATTACTCATACATCGTCATCATAGACGTGATTGATGGCGTTAATCCTCTACAAACTCCTCTTTCATGTCATCGTCCCCCTCATGTTCTTCGTAAGCGTTCACAAGGAACGGGTGGTGGAGCGCTTCTTCTGCGGTGATTCGCTTGGCCGGATTGCATTCCAGCAGGCGGTGCAAGAATTGAACTGCTTCCTTCTCGTCCTCATCCAGCTCCCTCTTTGGTTGTGTCTTGTCGCCTGTGCGGCCTGTGCACCAGAGTATGATCTTCTCCAGGCTGTGCCCACCCTCGCTATAGCTGGGTACATTGGTCTCGAATACTTGGCCGTGCAGGAGGGCTGTCTCTCGCATCTTCTTTCGTCCGAAGATGGTCGTGATCTCGAGGAGCGCATCGATGTCGTCTGCACTGTGGAAGAAAGGGAACCGCTTCGAGAGCATGGTGAGCAGGATGACACCGACACTCCAGACGTCGATGGAGCAGGTCTGCTGGGTGCACTTGAGGAGTACCTCAGGCGCACGAAAACCACGGGTACCTGCGCGGTTGGCACGGCGGCTGTTGCGTGTATCATTCTTGGGGTATGCGGAAGCGGTGTGGCCTGCTGACTGTGTCTGCGCGTAGACACTGTGTGATATTCTGTATCGACGGTCCTCCTCCGACATGTGGCAGGCGCAGTTGTGCCAGTCTGTGCCCTCTCGCTCGGCGAGGCCAAAGTCAACAAGGACTCCACGAGACTGCGAGGTATTGTAGAGGAAGTTGGTAGGTTTGACGTCGCGGTGAATGATGCCTTTCTTGTGTACCGCTGCAAGTGCAGTGAACAGGCTCTTGAAGTAACAGCGCATGTCGGAGATGCCCATGTCGCGGTAGTAATCGCGGAAGTCGCGGTGCTGGTAGTAGGGCAACACAGCGACGACCTGGTCCTGGTGGCGGAAGGCGGTGATGAGCGGACATACTGAATCCGCGTCCCTCAAATCAAACAGCAACTCGAGCTCGTTGAAGATGCGTATCGGACTGCTCGTGACGTAGATCTTCTTGATCGCGACGTAGCGAGGCTTTCTGGCAGGTTGCCTCTTGTGTGCTGGGAGAGATTTAGCCTCCTCGCGCTCGTCGATGTCCCAATCGTTGGTGTACTTGGTGTATTCGAGATCCTCGGCCTTGTAGACGGTGGAGAAGGTTCCTGTGGAAAGCGTAAGTCCAGCCCGCTACCCTGCATGCTGCAAGCCAATGATGTAGGACATACCCTCTCCAATGCGGTTAATCAGTCGGAACCGCTTGCTGATTCCGACAAACGTCTCTTCGAAGCGTGCCATGTCTTCTTGAACGGAATCTTCGACTTCTTCGTCGCTGCTGTCGGCAGTGCGCCCGCTTTCGTCGAGCGGGTTCATGCTTTCGTCCTGTGTCTCTTCGGCCTGGTCCTCTCCCATGTCGTCCTCATGGACGTCGATTGCCTCTGCATGACGCAGTGAAGTGCGTGCCTTTGCCATGGTGCGCGTGGCTTGTGATGTTGTGTCGAACGATGCGTGAATCTTTCTTCGCGGTATGGCGGCCGACGCGTTGGACCCTGGCTGGCTAGGCCGAAAGGGGAAGACTGATGGCAGACGCTCGGACCACCAACAAACAGCTGCAACGCGCCTTCCTGGGTCGGTGCATGTGCGACGGTTGCGGCCGCATCTTAACTTTCACGGCGCAAACACCCCCACCCTGGCCCGACGCTCATTTCGTCGCTTCTTGTTTCTGATTTCTGATTTCCTCAAGCGACTCTGATCATCATGGACGCCCGGGTGGATTTTGACATCAATGAGGCGGTTAAGCTGTTCGACAGCGATCCCTCCGCGATACCCACCCCCGAGGCCCCGCAGGCGCTGCAAGACTGCGAAGATGAGCCAGAATCGCTGTCGTCGCCCGGACTGATCAACAGCGAGCTGAATCCTGTGGTCGATGCCGTGGCGGAGAGTCCAGATGCGATTACTCGCAGCTCTGTGTTTGACACGCTGCAGTTTCTCTTGAAGTGCGTCCCCGCATATCCAAAGGATGCAAAACAATATGACACGGAACCTAATTCTAAACTGTTCCGACTATCTAGGCACTCATCGCAAATCCCGCCAGCCATCCTCAGCAAGATACTCGATCTCATCTCCTCGGCGCTGTCCACGCAAACCGACATCATCCACGCCGACCTCGAAGCCGAAGACCAAGATGCGATACCACACCACAAGAACCTGCTGGAGATGTATGGCTTCCTTCTCCGATGGACCATCTCCGCCGTCGAGACCAGAGCGCTTGAGAAGTCTGCCTCTGCACCAGCAGCGCGGGGGCGGGGTAAGGCCACAAAGACGAAAGCGGGAGGCGGCAAAGACGTCGTCTGGGATGCCTCAGCGCAACTAGAGACGGCTCTCGACCGCATGAGCAAGGTGCTGAGGCTCAAGCTGGGCCGAATCTTCGTCACCACCTCGGAGCGAGACACATTCATCGGCCTCTTCACCAAGCCAGTATACCACATCCTCGAGAATGAGGCAAGAGTCAAGAGCAACGCCATACGGAGTCACTGCTTCAGGGTTCTGTGCTTTGCCGTCAAGTCTCACGGTCATGCATACAGTAGGTAGAAGAGGACCTCGACAAGTGACTATGCTAATACCCATGGCAGCTGCTCAGACGTCCATCAACCAGAGCTTGACATACTTCGAGCATCTGGCAGAGCCCATGGCCGAATTCCTCTTCACACTAGCCGACGCTTTCGACTATCCACAGCTCACCGAAGACGTCTTGAAGGACATCAGCAGCAAAGAATTTAGTTCTACCGATCTGAAGGGGCCCAAGTCCATCTCGACCTTTCTTACCAAAATCTCCGAACTCACGCCGCATCTTGTCATTCGCCAAATGACATTGCTCGCCAACCTACTAGACAGCGAGTCATATACCCTCCGTTGCGCTCTTATTGAGGTGTGCGGAAACTTGATCATCATGCTTAGCAAGCTGAGCCAGGACGACCGCAGCGAGCAACACAAGCAACAAATTCGAATCTTCTTCGACGTCCTACAGGACCGCTTCCTAGACATCAACCCCTACTGCCGTGCTCGAGTGATGCAAGTCTATATCAAACTGTTAGATCTAGAGCAGAAATACCCCAAGCGCAGGCAGAAGGTCGCCGAACTCGCTGCACGTAGTCTGGAAGACAAGAGCAGTAATGTACGTCGTAACGCAGTCAAGCTGCTCGCGAAGCTCATCTCAACCCATCCTTTCACTACCTTTGACGGTGGATTGCTATCGACGAAGGATTGGGAACAGAGGTTAGCCGATGTCGACGCTCAGATCGACGCCTTACAGCCCCCGGAAGAGCTACGCGAGCGTGCCCCTGGTGAACAGACTGTAGACGAGACTCTATTGCAAGACGCAACTCAGGCCGATAACGATGAAGCACCCCAACATCCATCCGAGATGTCCGAGGAAGAGAGAGCTGCTGTGATTGCAAAGGCACAGAGGGACGCTGCGACTGCGCAAGAACTGGAGAAATTCCAAGCAGTACGCAAGTATCTGATGGAAGCGCTCAAGTTCATCGAAGTCCTCAACGACGCCGCTGAGGTGGTCACTCAACTGCTGTCATCCAAGAATAAGAGCGAAGTCATCGAGGCCATGGACTTCTTTGTCACCATCGACGCGTACAAGATCGCGAATGCGAAGCTCGGTATCCGGAGGATGTTGCGTCTTATCTGGACCAAGGGCAACAGCGACGAAGGCAAGGGTGTTCAGACGCACCTGTTGGAGTGCTACAAGGGCCTCTTCTTCGACGCGCCACCTGGATTCGACGCCAATGCAGTTGCAAACTACATCTCGAAGAATATGATCAGTCTAACATTTGGCACAACCCCCGCTGAGCTCACGTCACTCGAGCAGCTCCTCAGCACCATGATGAAGCAGGGACTAGTCAACGCATTGGTCATCCAGAAGCTTTGGCAAATATATGGATACCAGAAGAAAGACATTTCCAAGAAGCAGCGCCGCGGAGCAATCATCGTCCTGGGTATGCTCGCACTTTCGGCTCCACAGATCATCGTCGAGGAGATGGAAGTATGTTTGCGGATTGGCCTTGGGGAACTGGGCCGACGGGACCTGGGCTTGGCTCGATACACCTGTATAGCTCTGCGCCGCATGAGTCCACCGCCTGGAAAGCAGGCCTCGAACGACAAGCCAGTACAGACCGTCAAGCTTCCAAACGATCACGCAGTTCTCGTCAGACTGGCCGCTATCACAGAGATGCCATCCGATAGCAAGGAATGGTTTGGCGTTGCAGAACAGGCCATCAGTGCTATATACGTCCTTTCGAAACATCCCGACGTTTTGTGCTCCGAGATCATTCGCAAAGTCACAAAGCGTGTGTTTGCGGGACAAGCCAAAGCTGAGTCACGGCCGACGTCGAGTTCCAGTGCTGCAGAACCAATGGAGGTCGATCAGGGAGATGAGGAGATGCCCGACGCGCCTGCGGTTGAGGAACCACAACAGAAGAAGCAGAATTCGGCGCTTGCCTTATCGCAGCTGCTTTTCGTTGTCGGTCACATTGCCATCAAACAAATCGTTCACTTGGAGCTTTGTGAGCTTGAATTCAAGCGTCGCAAGGCTGAGAAAGACAAGATGGCACCGACACCTCGAAAATCCATGTCTTCGTCAGGACCCACACCACTCAAGAAAG